TAAAAAAATGTTTACATATATATATATATATTTTTGTGTCTGTGTGTGTTTGTGTGTGTGTGTGTGTGTGTGTGTGTGTGTGTACGCACGCGTGTGCGTGTGTGCTCATGAATGCAGGCTATGGGTGCCGAAAGAGGGCACTGGATCTCCTGCAACTGGAGGGGCAGGCAATATTGACCCATGCAATGTGGGAATGGGAACTGAGCATTGGTCCTCTGGAAGAGCAACAAGTGTGCTTAATAGTTTAGGTATCTCTCCAACATGATAGTGTTGATTTATTTCTTTCAGCTTGTATTTATTGAGACCCTCTCAAAACCACACTGCATTGTCACAAAAAAAGCAATGGAATTCTTTTCTTCCTGATATATTCAGTTGTGTTCTAGTAGTATCTTTTCTCATTTATAGAAGAAGTGAACACATCTTGATAACACGTATAATGTAAAGATTCGTTTCCATTTAACCTATGTCATATAGACGATATCCACCAAAAAAGCTTTTCTGGTTGGGTATAAAGATTATTGATAGGCTTTCCATGTGTCTTAGTTCATCAAGGCATTCTAGTTGCAACAACAATAATACTCCTCTAGAAATTGCTGTTAATTTCATTAAAGTTATTTAATGAGAAAACTTAGGCGTTTAAAGCTAAATAAACAAATAAGCATATGGGCGCCATTTAAAATATATTTTTACTAGGATGAATGAAGCAAGGGGAAAAAACACTTGCATAATTCATCTTTGCTTACTGAAAGGCTGGCACAGATATCTTCTGTGCTGAATGTTTAAATAGCTATCACAGCATTTCATAAGTTTAAACTTGAATTGAAAGCTTTCCTTGGCTCCAATGGAAAAATAGTCACATATTACTTACATAGTAATTACAGGCTATGCAGCCGCCCTGCAAAGCTTTATTATAAGTGTGTTAAGTCTGAACCACTACACAAACCGCATTCAGATTTCATTAAATATTAAGCCAAAGAAATGTCATCCTCCACACCAATTGCTTCTACAAGAACAATGGTCGTCTCCCTAGTCAGAGACCTAAATAATGTAATAGAATCAATGTTGTTGATTTAGTCTGTAGTTGGCTAAAAGACATTACTGGTATTCCTCACCAAGTAAAGCGGTCTTTTTGCTTCTGGTTATGCTTCAACAAAACTTAAGCTAATAAAAATTAAGAATGAATAAGCTTCTTTGATGTATCATTTAAAGATTGGGAACTGAAGAAAAAGTATCTGGCTTATATCGCGATAAAAATACTGGTCTCGGTTTATGTATAGTTCTGGTTTCTGCTTTAAGCCTCTCTAACGTAATGATTTAAGACTAATACTTGCATTTGTCTGATGATTTAAAATATTTACTTGGTCATATAAGTACCTCAGTAGTACAATTACAGTAGGAAGAGACTAGAGACCAGAGCTAGTAGGTTTTGAAAATGTTAGTGGAGGTGAGAGTTTTCAATATTTCCACTGAACATTCTGAAAATGTATTTTATATTCTCTTGTCTGATAATAAAAAAAATAACTGAACATTGTAAAAAATGAATTTGTTAAGTCTTAACAAACACTGTAAAAGCTAATGTTGTTAGGCTTGGTATTTAACACATAATAAATTGGGGAAATAAATCAAGTCTTAGTTAAATTAATTTTAGTTTATTCATTTAAACACAGATACATTAAAATTCATTGTAATCTTATAATATTCTAGTTTTAATTTTCACCCCGTCTTGATCTTTCTTAACATTTAAAAACTAAAAAGGCCAACACATCCCAACACTTTCAAGGCAGGAAGATCTCAAGGTTGTGACCAACTTGGGGATATAGAACAAGACACTATCTCACCAAACCAAACAAAAACAGAATGACAGGATTAACACTGCATTTTCTGGAGCATGATCCCTAACACAATGTAAAGAGACAGATTATGGCTACGGCTTTCGATCTAGAAAAACACGCAAATAATCAGTCAGCTCTTGTGGAAACAGTAGCCAAATGCAGTTGTGGAGATTCTGTGACCTATCTGGACAGTATTCTTCTTTAAGATATATAAGGCCATCAGTCCTAGAAGACACTATGAACCTGTCAAAGACCACAGATGACTGAGAAGCATGACAGCTAAGCATAAGAGCCTATGATAACC